ATTTTTTAACAATTGATTGCTGAATTTTTTACAGTTGAAGATTTTAATTAATTTTCTTTTTTTATTTAAATAATTATTTTTGTATTCAGAGAGAACATGGTGTCTTTTGACAAACTTAACGCTATTAAAAATACTTTTTTGTTTTCTACATTCAATATCCACCCATGGCCTTTCTTTGTATGACATAGAACTCGAAATTGACTTTACCATGCCCAAATTCTTAGCAACCTTGATAATTGAAGATGTAACAGTATCATTTAAATTATTGATATTTTGATTTCAATTTGAAACTTTCCTCTCCAAGCCATAGACATAGAGAAAACAGAAGCCTTCTCAACAAGGGTAACAATCGGTAGAACTAATAAATCATTGATTAGAGGGACAGCGGCAGGCGAGTACCAGACCAAATCCACTAAACTAAAGCCCTGTACTCCTGTAAAAGTAAAGCTTGCAGGAGAATCACGTGAAGAACGACCGTTTAAGAAAATAAAGTTCTCAAGCTCCATATTATTTTTTAACACATTTCTACAGTGACTAAATCGAGAGATGATCTTTCAGGGTATAATTGCATTGGCTTGTAATTCAGTCTCACCATTCCTGTATTCCTTCTCACCATTAAACCAAATTTTTTCAAATGTATTAGTAAATCTGGACTTGTAAAATAGTTTGCAAAATACAAATGATATTGAGCCAACTTTTTAGGTACAACAGAAGTGAGAAGACTGCACCATTTTCATTACAACGCGAGTTTCTAAAGCGCATTTAGTAAGACTTAGAACCAAATCAGAATAATAAGAACTTGATCCTTTACCGCAGTTGATGTCACAGTCAAATACAAATCCTTCAACACTGCAAATAGACTACATTTAAATTCCAAATCGAATAGATTAATTCTTAATGTACTGTTTAATTACTGCATTACCATGAAATTTTACCATCATCTCATCTACCGACAAAGCAGTACTGAAAAATCCAATTTTTTTATATTTTTTCTAAAAATTTCTAAATTATTGGTCTAAAGAATTTCATCTTTAGACCAATAATCTCTTAGTGATTTTCTCTAGTTAAAGCTAGATAAAATAATTCGTCCTAGGAAACCATCAAAGTCTGCGTTCTAAAGGCTGTATCCATTACTGTGTGTAGCTTCTATTAATATAAGTTTTGAAATCTACTGAAAAGAAGAGTTCAAGTAAATCAATAAAAGAATATTTACAAAATTTCTCTTTTACGCTATCAGAGCAAGATTTTTATTTCAGGATGTGGTCTATGGCTGTAGCGCATGGGCGCTCTTGCTGAAATCGTACGAGTTCGTGCTTACGCCGAAAGTGAGCGCCTATGCGCTAAAGACATAGACCACTGCGTGCTACAAAGCCCCTGTTTTTCTCTCAGTGTAACCACTAAAAATTGTAATTTGGTTCAAGTTTTGTGTGCTTCTCTGTGTCATCTTTTATAACCTGATAAAAGGAAGCTGTGTATTAGTAAATTCTTCCGAATCTAACCTCTCATCACTTGAACATTTCTTCAGAATTCAGAAACATTAGCTGATTCTCCTGAATCACCTGGATTGGAAATTAACATCAACTTTAATCTATCATCGTCTTCTTTAATTTCGACATCAACAGTACTTTGCTCCACATGTGCAGAAAAGTACTGTTTTGCGCCTACTTTACAGGTATGTAAAGTCATACTTTCTATGTGGGTGTTGCACAAAATACATTTCCGTCTGCTGACATTACATAAGCGGTCGGTAAAGTTTTTTGCGCCTGGATTAATTTTAATTACGCGAAATTCACCCAAGTATCAGTCTTTTTAAATTATAAATAAACAAGCATTAGTTTTTATAACTGTTGAGTACAAATATGTTTTTATACCTGGGAAATAAACTATTTTTAATTACAAGTGTCACACAATTCATGGAACGAGTATATTTTAAAGAGTTTAAATATAACTGGAGATAACGCACGATGCTTTGAGTTATTTACAATACGTACAAAAGCATTTGAATATTGTATATTCACATGAACATTAGAGTTTTTTACTCTCATGAATTTGCACCTCTATCAATTTATTTTGCTTCTGAAGAAGGTCATATCTATTTGACCTCGTATGTACTAACTGCAGTCAAGGTGCAGTTCCATACACCAGTAATTAACTCATTATTTACATTTATCTACTAATAAAAATATGTATGTCTACCAAATCACAGCTCACTAGGTCTAAAAATATGGAAGTTAAAGGGATGAGACAGGATCATTTTTCTGAGTTTTTTTTCGAAAAACAGATATCTTTCAACCCTTAAAACGATGTAGAAATGAGTTTTTGTATTTCTTAATTTTTTTATTTTGTTTTCATTTTGATAGTTAATTTAATTATAATTATTTTTAGCATAAATGTTAATGATAAAATTTATTGTAAGATTATTATTATTATTATTGTGGATTTTTGTAAGTTGTTAAAATATATTTTATCCTACAGGCATAAATACGGTGCTTTTAGATAGCTGACGACCGGCAGGCATTTTTCTTGACATGTAAAAATGACGCATAATCCCGTTCGGTTTTTCTCAAGGATAAAAATGAATACCATTTTCATACATGTCGAACAAGTAAATGACTTTATTACTTCCTGTCGTCTGCAATCTGAAATCAACAGTTTTGTGCCTTTATTTAAAATCATTTTCTGTAATTGAGATTTAAAAGATCTGTGACTTAATTCAAGCCCCTACAGACATGTCATTTTAAAAACTCTCAATTTTAACAATTTTAATCCTTAAAACCAATTTTCTCATTTCCAATACAATGTTTCTCTGGTTTCGATCTATAGCAGTTTCTGGAATCTTTTAAGCCAATGTTTTTTTCGATTTTCACTGCAGAAATAGTTACAGATACAAACTTTATTTCTCATTCTTTTTCTCTTTCGAATCTCATCGGTCGAGTATCAGAAGAGCAACAACTTTTCCAATTTCCCTGAGGCTGAATTGGTGCATGACTCTATAGATAAACTCAAACGCTTGCTAAAACCTTTTCTTTCAAGGTTCATAAAAGCTTTCCATTAAAAGTTCCCTTTAACAAATTAGATCATAGGTTGAAGACCACATATTATTTGCTAAGAGTTTCTTCTATCGGCTTTCCAATAGAAAATTTTACTTATATAAATAATAGCATAAGTTTAGAAATAAATTTACAATTTTGATGATGAGAGGCTATAAATATTAGGTAAACTTTTACTGCTCATGAAGAAACTAATAATAAGTTTCGAATATAAATGTTGTATTAATACTTATAAATTTTGTTTTTAACGCATTTGAATGATCTGAATTGAATTGATTACTTTCACGCCCGACGCCAATTCTGAAGCCCTGCCGCGCAAGTGGTTAAACTTTAAAAACTTTAACATCCTGTGACTAAATTCTTTTCAAACTTGTAATTTTAATGTTTTACAATTCGCTAAATACTAATTTATAGTCACAATTTAAAATTATGGATCAAAAATCTTTAAAAAATTATTTGAATTTAATCAATTATTCTACTGAGTTCAGCTGAATCTTGTTACTGTCAGTCACTGAATACAAATTCAAGGTCAGCGTTAGAAAATTTTAAATGACAGGTCCGTTTATACGTGTTCTTATTTCAGTTTAATAATAAGGATTCCAAAATTAAGATGGAGATTTAGCGATATGTGAAGAATTTTCCGGTCAGACTTTTTAGCTTCTTTTCTCAGAAGCTTCATGATTTATGAGCATTGACGGAAGCTTTTAACTTTCAAAGCAGACAGGTGCTAATATAAATTTTTGTCACATTAGGTTTTGATTTTTCTCAATTTAGGCTTTTAAAATGCGGTTTATTCCTTAGTATTTGTAATTAAATTGTTTTTGAATTCGTAATTATGTTCTGTTTCATTAAAATTTTTTTCATAATCTTACATTTTTTTGCATATAGAAATCCTTTTAAACACTGGAGGTATAAACAAAAGTTCCAAGTAATGTAAAGTCTAAAAGTACAAATATCCAAAAGGAAAGAAATTGAAAAGGAGCATACGCTTATTTAATTGTAAAAAGTGTAAACAATGTAGCTGTATAAAAATTTCAAAAGGTGTGAAAATGTGATTGTATGAAGTGTAAGTTAGATGTGTAAGTTGTAAAAAAGTAGTTTGTAATAAAATTCCTGATTTTTTTACCCAGCTGAAGATATGTTTGCATGCACTCAGTATCACCTTGTTTAACAGTTCCTCCCACACTAATCGTCTTTGCTTTAACCCCACATTGATTTTTTATGCGTCTCCAATAAATTATTGTCTCAACCTCAAAACTTTACTTGGTATATAGAAATCCATTCATATAAATAACCAAAAAAACTGAAAAATTTCCACTTGAATTGTAAGTACACTTACTGAATAATTATAAAAATCACAGAAACTTTTGACAATTGTAAATTGAGGGAAAATATACTGAAAAAACTATTATGCGACATATTTAACAACTTTATTTATTTAAATAGGTAATTAATATTGGTTGTATAACACCCAATCAACAAATAATTTATTTTCTTGGCTTAAAACATGGATTTTTGAAACTTTTTATGAATAAATGTTATATTAACATGCAATTAAAACAATGAGATCTTAACCAACTTTTTATCTTTCTTAGAATTCAAAATAAAAAAAAACGTCTGCAATACCTTTATTTGCCGTAGAGTGGGTAAATCCTACTAAGCGGAAGTGTGTTGTAAATGTTATATTTTTAAAATTGTATAAACATTATCTAATATGTTATTATCTTATTATTCTAATATTTTATTGATATTTATAAATATATATTTAATATTATCTCTAAATCTGCAAAAGACAGTAATATTTTATAAATTTATTAAACGTACAATTTCGTTGTAAATGTATATTGCTATTTTCTGATTTTTCTTATAACATTATCAAACAAGAGTGTAACTAAACTGATATCCGCTAATTGAAAGATCATGTTATACGGATCACATTCTCTATTGTAGGATCTGTTCAAGGGCTGAGATGTTACATATGTGGTCAATACAATGATGGTGTTGGGAGCATTACACCTTGCATCAATTACACAGCTCACATGCACTTAAAGGACTGCCCGCCTTTGTCAAAGTGGTGTATTGTAAGTAAACTATAATTTAATTAACTTATATAATTAAAAAAATATTAAGTATCAAATGAAAGTGAAAACACAAGTGAATTTGATTAATAAAACCAATATAAAATTTAAAGTTATACTTTAATTAGAGAAAGTGTTTTCGTAAAGTTCAAGAAAAATATAATTATTATCATTGCAATCTGTTTATAATTAATGTGTTAAATAATTAAGAAACATGAGGTAAGTGTTATTGGTCTAAGGCTAATGCTATCAGCTTTATTTATAAAGTGGACAAAACATTCTCTCCAACTTAAGGGATATTCCTTGGATTGATAAAGCAAGTTATAAATATCGAAAAGAAGTAACTTATATTTAACAGGTAGATAATTAATTTGAAAGTTCTTAAAGAAATTAATTTTATATAAGTTGACATTATTTACTGATGTTGACTGTAAAAATGTTTTAAACTAGATACTTTTTTAATGCAGAATTCATAAACTGAATTTTCTCCAAAAAATATTATACTAATAGTGAATGTAAAGCAAGTTAAAATTTTTAATTTTAAAAATTTGACAGATACATAGCAGCTGGTCAGACGTCAGATTCGTGTTCGGCATATCCAAAACCGTAAGAATGCATACACACATGTCAAGTTATGTAGAAATGGAAAAGTTATAACATAAAGTTTGCAGAAGTGCACTAAACCCATGTTAAATCAAATTCCATTTAAACTTCATGCCTTCCGTGGCACGGGTTAATATTTATCAAATGACCTGTCTTATGCACAGTTCATTTTTTTCACATTCTGAAATGAATTATGTCTGACAACCTAAAAAATCCCAACTTTCGCAAAATATGAACCACCCTATAATATATAATAAAAATTATTATTTACAAAAAATGGTAAATTAATATTTTTTAAGGATTCTTTTACTTGTATAAAAATTATAAAACCAACGTAGTAAAATAAATGTTGGGAAGTGTCTCCATGAGTTTACCACTTTTCTATTTATTCAAATAAAATTTTTCAGAAATAGCTATTGCCCTAAACCTGACAAGTGAAAAAAGTTGTTGTTTACTTTTGAAACATAAGTGATTAACAAGTCTTTTGCTCTCCTTGCATTTAATAGAATTTATATTATATTATTATATTCATTATATAAAATATATTAAGTTGAATTTTTAATAATTCTAAATGCCGGATGTCATATGGACGCATAATTTTAAAAAAGTTTTCGTATTGGTATAAAACTTGTTTTTCGGGTGTTTTATAGGGTCACTAAATAGGTTTCTGAGGTTAGTGATAAAATAAAGCTGAAGTAAAATAAATTTTTAGATTAGTGTCTATTTTTAAGCAGGTGAAAAAGTTTCACCACTTTCAGTATAAAAATATGTTTTCAACAATAATGTTGTTAATGTTAATGTGATGATCCAATGCGCCTACATCTTAGAAGAGCAGTCGGATTCGTCATAGAATTTGTAGCAGAAGTCTGTAAGCTGGTCATAGTAGCTTTACGCTTAAGAATGGCACCTATTCCGTCATAAGAATTTTTTGCATGAGCTGTAGGGTGAAAATGCCAGTCTGCTGGTATTTCAAAGTCTTCTTCATGTTTCAATAAATTGGAAATTTGAAAGCGATTTTTGAAGTACTGTTTGGTCCGCCAGAAAAATAAATTATACGATTCAATTTAGTTATATCCTCACTATCTTTGTAGTAATCAACTACTGGCATTATAGTACACTAGTCAATATTTTACTAAAAAGCTTGAGCTGTATTTTTGATGACGAATGCATAATTTTCCAAAAAGTCCAATAACACCAGTACTTCTCTTTCCTTGACGTTTTTCTTAACGTTGTCAAGAAACATTGACTGCTGCTTAGCTATAAATGAGTGGGGTTTCAATTTTTAAAGCGTTTTGCATAGTTCTTCTACGAATTCAAAAGTAGAACATTTTTGAGCTACTAAATTTGATATGCCAGTCAAAACCCATGAACTATATAAAATGTTTTCAATGCTTACATCACTTAAAATGTTTGTCACATATTCAGAGAAATATTCAATACTAGGGAAGTTGTCACATTTTCCTAAGTGACATAATGAAGCAGGAGATTTACACTTAATCAATTGTAGACAATCTTGTTAATTCTCTATAGAATGCTCCAAAGTTTTTGTGATGTCTTTTTATAAATTGCATTGAAGATTAATTTACAGTTTTCCTGAATTATACTCACGCATACAAAATTAGTACCGGAACCTCCAGCGAATACACGATTTTTCAGATGCAGTTTTTCAAAGACACTGAAACTAATTGAGTGTTCTGATTTTATTCGTTTTTATCCTTGATGTACCTTCTTTAAATAAGCCAACAACCAACGTTTTTGAATTAAAGTTCTTTTTCCATCAATGATTAGTGAAACTGAATCTTTTTTACGTGGCATAATTCTGCTGTATATGTTACGGTCAATGTCCGGAATCGGGCAATGTCTGACAATGCCCACAACCACTGGGCATTGTCGACAATGACCATCAATTTCGGTCAATGTCCGAAATAATTTATATTATGAAGTTTTTTCGGGCAATGTCGACAATGCCCGGTCCAGTTTAGGCAATGTCAATAATTAATTTTTTAATTTAATATAAATTCATTTTAATCGAAATGTACCGACTAGTTATAAATAAAATGTCTCGTAAATTGTAATATTATTTCGTTTACAATAGATTAAGTCTCACATTTTGTAATAATTGCTCTCACGAATAATAATATAAATATAGAGAATAGTTTTTATTTGTTTACAATCATTTGTTTATAATTACCATTATCAATTTTTAAAGCAAATATAACTTTAAATGAAGTTTTATTGTCAAAATATAGTAAAATATTGTGTTTTTATGGAAAAATGTTAAAGTACCAATTTGTAAACGCTTACTCTAATTGTCCCATTTTGTGAAAAGACATGTACCAATTATTGCAGTTTCAAATATTTTAGTCAATTTATTAATTTATTCCAATAATTTAATGTTATAAATTTTAAATCGTTAAATTATTATCTATATGGTTATAAAATGTGATGTTTTGAATTTTTTTTAAAAATTATAAAACTTAGAACTAATAAATAACCCCAATATTAATGTTCTATTAACAAAAAAATATCACTCACGTTGTCACTGGCCATTTTTACCAATGATTTAATATTTTAAAAGTCTGATTTTAATAGTATAATTAACTTAATCCTTAATGTAAACAACATTGCCCAAAAATGAATGGGCAATGTCAACAATGCCCGGGCATTAACACACTTTGCTGAATATTATTGAAAATGTATGGGCATTGTCGATAATGCCCAGTGATTCCGGACATTGACCGTAACATATATATCACTGTTATTAAAGTCAATAACTTCTTTTAGTGTACCTTCATGTAATTTTCTCCCATCTTTAGAAGTTGTTGAATCTAGAACACCACTACTAATTCTCAAATTTCTGGTTTTTTAGCCAATCGTCGTGTGGTTCCAAATTCCTTATCAATTTTGTGAATTAACCATGATAAATGAGCTAGTGAGAATGGTTATTCGCATAGATAGTATCATTATTATCCTAATTTTTTAACTTCTGGTTTAAGTCAAAGTCTTCTACGCAACTATTAGATATTTTAATACGTTCAGACTTTGGATTACATTTTTGCTTAGAGAGTTGAAGCTTATAATTAGAACATATATTTGTATCAATTGAAACATCAGGAAACTTTTCTCGAACAATCTTCGAAACAGGACGCAAACTTTTTTGGCAATGATTATTAGAAGCTTGTAATTTAAAAGGATTAACAACTTCATTGGCAAGGCGTTCCAAATGGCGTTCACGCGTCTTGGCCCAGCCTGGCAACAGACCGAAATGGCGATCCTAATCAAACTTGATTTTTAAAATGTGTACACGACTTATAATTACTACAAAGCAATATTTCTACACTAAAGATCAGAAGCGGGACTCTGACTTAGCGCCACGCAATTTATCTAACTCAGAGTCCCGCTCCAGCCTTATAGGTTGAAGCGTTTTTCTGAAACTTATTGTTTTTGAAGTCCGTGTACGTCATAACTCAAAATCTACTGGACCAATTTAGAATTTCTTTTAGATATTGCAAAGCCCTAGATAGGTCAATTTTTATGGTTTTACGAGTGTAGACTGACTTAATCATGTGCTTCTTATTGTCTAGTTATTACTATCTAGTGACTAAATGATGAAAATGTTTTATCTCTAGCTAGTTTCAAGACTAGTTTGACATTCTTGTGTCTCTGTAGTAATTTTTAATCTAGACTGGCGCGCTTTAGTGATATATAGACGAAAATGTTAACTATGTTTCCTCTGTTGGAGTCTCTAACTGTTAACCTAATTTGTAAAACTTTCTATTTCTGAATTTACATTTGTGTAGACTGTAATATACATATAAATATCGGTTTTCAACTATCTTGTGAAACCATCAACCGATTAATTAGAGCTTTTGTTTCAAAGGTAAAGACGAATAATTTTTAATTGACTACGGATTGCTACTAATTTACATTTTAATACACTTTGATATTATGTGAATTTTAATCTTTTGATTAATAACAATATAAAAACTCTATGAACGACATAAATTTTTTTTGTCTTCACAAAGTAAATTGTAAAAAGAATGGACACCTTTGGATAATATGGTGGGTAGAGTAGTTGACTTAACCGATCGTCTTACTATTGTTGAGCAGATATTTAACAAGTATGAGGCGGGTTGTTCTCAAATAGTCAACCCAATACTGGAGACTAATGCCTGCATCAATTAAATTGTTGATCGGTCGGAAAGAAAGTGTAATCTAGTTTTGTTTAATCTTTCTAAAGATAAAACTCAAAACAAAGATTCTAACACCTTGAAAGCTGTTGTTATTAACAAATTTAAAAAGTTTACAAAGTCAAATAATCTGGATAATCTGGAAAAAATTTATAGACTCAATGTCAGAGGATTTTTAAAGAAATAATGATGTACTAGCTTCTTATAGAC